TTGTAAATTAAAGCAAGTTAAGCCACGCCTGTCATGCGACGGCGACAAAACCAAGTAGTCCACAGCGCGAGCACATCTGCGAGTCTAGCAAGTTGTGGACTCTGGGTAGTGTGTTCATGTTCCCCAATATTGAGAAGGAATTAAAAGATAGGGGATGTAATAGTTGGTAAAGATCAGAAGCTGATTAGTTAAAGTTATTCAATAACAGAATTACAAACAGCATATGCACGAGGTGCAGTCGCTCTTGAGGACGCAAGTCCCGAGCAGGCGTATGGAAGAAGGGAGACGGGCATGAGTAATCACTACAGGACAACAGATTACAACGGTATAAAAGCACACAGAGCAGAAAGGAAGATTTAACTATTCGAGTGTGGGTTAGGCACACATTCGAATGGCACTGTTCATTGTTCTTCTCTTTCACTGAGGGCAAACGAAAGAGAATATAAATCAAAATAGGTAAATGCGATAACTTTTGGCAAAAAGCCCGTAAATTAAAGAAGATTGGTGAAGCAGACAGAAGACCTATGGGAGGCTGGATTGGGAAGTAGATTCGAGGAGGTAGAGGGTAAAGTACAAATATTCAAAGTACTTCTGCACAGAAGGAGCAGCGGCGATGGAGCAGACGGCATCACGAACTAAACACGTGCGAGAGACATTCTCAGGGGGTTGAGAGTAGCCGTCCAACTATTATGCATGTGCCGGCGGTAACAGCAGGCTTCTAGCACCGGGTCTCGTAGAGGCCACTCTTTCCTATGTAGCGTACCCACTTGATGACATCGTGGTCCGAGTAGTTAAGTTTCGGCTCAAACACCTTGAGAAAACGCACCCGGAAACCGGATGGAGCAAACGGCACCTAAGAGAAGACATGGGGGAGGGATTAAGGAATCGATGTAAGAAGGCGAAACTGTCGGCCTTACCGTCGGTTAACGCTTGTGATATTTATAGATTTTTTCAAAACAAGGCAAGCAGGAGAGTAGTCCTCAGTTAACGCTTTTATGTTTTATTAACTGATGTGGAAAGAACAGGGCTCAGAGTCAATAGATGCACCTAACACTGCGGTCTAACGGTTACGGTATGGCTTCCGTGGACTAGACGATATACAATTGCAACTATTACAATTTTCGAGATCCTACATTATTATTCGGGTAACATACTATAGCTAGATTTATTGAAACAATTCATGAAACGCACAAGTTCGCTCATATCTGTGAACACTAAAAAGCCCCTACTTATCCCTTGTGTTATTTAAGATGCCTGCGTATACTTAGAAGCTTTGGAAATCAATTCACAGGTAGGTTATCCCAGTACGAATAAACTGAACTATTCAACTCTTTTAAACGTCAAAATCAAAAATGATTTCTCTCAAAATGACTAAAAATATATCGGCTGTGCATTTTTTTTCAAATTTGCACAGCAGCCCCTGTTTAGTGTGCAGAGGTTTTGGACAAACCCGTCTAGATTAGATGTGCCCCAT